GGGGTCGAAGCAGAGGCGGGGCCTGGGGATCCGGGGAAGGCAGGAGCACGTCAGCGGCGGGAACAAGGGGAAGCAGCTTTGGGGGTCAGCCGCCTCCCCAGACAGCACAGAGGACCCTCCCGTTACTCCGTGCATTTGATTTCTCAGCCCAGCACCCCAAGCATTCCTGTCCCCCTTCTAGGTCCTCAGCTGGGGTCTGTGGTTTCCATTAGCTTGGAATTTTTTTTTTTTTTTTTTTTTTTTTTGAACAAAAGAGAGCACAAAACCGTTATTTTTTTCTTCCAGGGCAGCTCAGTTCCCCACTGCAGCTCAGAGTTTGGCTTCAGCAGCAGCTACGCCGGCAAAACTTCAGGCAAGCCCTGCTCTGCGACGGGGAGGGGGACGGGCACAGGAACAAGCAGAGGTGGCCACGGACCCCAAGCAGGAATCGCCATTGAGTTCTGGTGACACAAACCTACGGGCACAGGCTCTGGGCCACGGACTGGAACCGAACCCCAGCCCCGTGAGCAGCTCGGGGGATGGCTGTGCCGGGATTTTTAGGATACGAGTTCAGCTTCAGCCGAAATACCTAGCAGCAAGTGTCTGTTCTCACCTGCCATTGCTCCGAAGCCGTAGGACATCGGTGAGGAGATGGTGGGACCTCACCTCACACCCGGTGGAGACGCTCCTGGAAGCGTGGCTCAATTAAATCACGAGACACGCCTGACCGCTAGCACTGCCCCTCTCTGTAATTTCCCATCTCAACAGAGACGCCTCCGCACAGCTCGGTTCTCACTTTCCCTCCAGGCTGTGACCAGAGCGGGCTGGCAAAGTGACCTTCAGAAACCCACATCAGCTCCCACTCCCGCCAGCTGGAAGGGCTTTAAACTCAGCACCGCTACACGTGCTCCTTCACCAAAAGATTAAAAATAAAAAAAAAAAAATCAAGCAAACAGCTTGAACCCTTTCTCCAAGCCCTTACCCAAAGTCAAACGGAGCCCTTTTGGAGGAGAAAAAAACGGTCACTGTTATCTCCTACTCAAATCTTGATACGTGAGAGCTCTTGACCACCAGCTCCAATCTGTTGAGAGGGCTCAACGGACTGGAGAGGATTCAAGAGAGGCTCAAGGGACTGGAGAGCCTCAGTGGCAGGCCAACGTGCCAGCCAGGGTCCACAGCTTACAACGGGCAAGGCAAGAGCACGGCGTTGAGGGCTGCATAAATGTCATCTCAGCATCTGTGAACATTTGGCTGGAGCCCCAAAGCCCGTGGCTTGAGCCTGTGCCGAGAGGGGCCCAACCTGACACACACAGAGCATCTGAAGACCTTCAAGCTTCGCGAAACCTGAGATTAAGGTTTTCAGCTGGGAATACGGTAGCTCACACCCATCTCCACCAAGAAACTCGTGGGTTTCTCAGCAGCTTCTGGCCACACACAGAGAGTATAAACACATAGTTAGTGCTAGAAGGTTTCACTGGAAATCAAAAGGCTTGCCAGTTTGATCCATCCTCAGTTAAGCTAAGAATATGCTCGAGAGACTGTTGCTTTAGGGTTGAAACCACCAGGCTGCTTTGGATACGAGACACAGCTTTGAAATTATATGAACAGCTTAATGTTTTCTCTAAGATATTTTAATGCTGTGGCGATGCCAGCCGAGCACTTTCCTCCACGGAGGCTTGCAGAGCCACGTGTGTGCAGATGGCAGTTTGCTTCAGAGGGGCTGCAGAAGGTCTTTCCGCACCACATCCAAAGGAGATAGGATGATGTTATAGCTAAGCCAGAGGACAGACTTGGGGAATGACATTTAGCTTCCCAAACGTGCAACTAACTCATCGAGTGACCTGGAGAGAGTCTCTTACCCGTTCTGAATCTGTTTCCAGTCTTTAAAGCGGGAATAGGCCTAAGGCAGCTCAGTGTGGTGGTACAGGACTGGGGTCTCCGTTTACAAAGGTCCCCTTAGAAAGGCCACAAGGTGTAATAAGCAGCAGTCTTGTATTTGCCTGCAAGGTGGTGGTTGTATGGACTTTCTCTTCAATTACTTAACCAAAAGGCCAATGCAATTGGTGGATCGTAGTCTTTAAGTTTCATCCACGCTTACTGGAGAAACCAAAGCTACAACCACCTATGGAGTGGGCAGGTCTGGATGCACAGACATCAAAACGATACAGGCCAGCCACAATCCTGAGATCATACAGAGATGTCCCTCTTCGCTGAGAGTGTCAGCTGGTGCTGAAGAGCTCGGGTTTGGCCTAATGTTGACCCCTTTTGAAGCCAATGGACCAAAGCTTATCACTTCTGATAACTCCACCCTGTTCTCCAAGAGTGACTAACTGTCCCCAGTATCCACCGTTCATCTGGGAACATTAATGTTCCTGTTTGTTTGTTACCTACTGGGAAGGTATTCCGGACGCTGCAGGTTCCTTTTTCACGAGTAAAACCACATTGCTCCAGCTAAACAGCAAGGTTTCAAGTGACATGTAGTTGCTTAGAAATTAAATGCGACGTAACGTAGCTCTCACCTGAACCCTGTGTAGCCAAAGAGGACAGCTTGCAAGAATCCACCCATCCCTGTCAAGAAGTTCACAGCTCCTGACCCATCTGAGTTCTCCACCCAGATCTGCTCCAGCAAGAGAAAGAAATGACTCAACAGTTGCATCGGGACTCTTCATACAGTTTTGTGGGTTTGAATACGCTTATCATCATCACTGTCACGTATCTGGGGTGTTGCAACAACCATGCCCTGCTGCCCATCCTGGCGTGAGGCGGTGGGTGGGCTCTGACGCCTCTCTGAATACCACCATCTCCATTCCCTTCCCTATTCCTGGCGGGCAGGAGGAAGCCTGGGGTGAGCACGATACTGACCCGTGGCTTTGGATTGCGGGTGGGAAGCAGATGCCTCCTTACGGCTCTTCAGAAGCACGCAGAGAAGAGACAGAGCGTGCAACCACCTAGCTCAGTATAACAATAACCTAGTGACCCCAAGTGCAGTTGGCACGGGCTCCAGTCCACGTGATGTTTCTCAGTGTGATGTGACCTACTCGGGAACCAGCAAGATAGAAGCAAGACCCGTTTGTCAGAGGAAGCAGTCACGCCATGCAGCTAACCTTGAAGGGCTCCGTGATGTTGCTGAAACACTTGCTCAGTTGGCTCTGGGCTCTCTGCACCTCCTTTAGCTCCAGCCAGCCCACTGCAAACATGCTCTGCAGGAGAGAAACCCGGCCTTTCGCCAGCTGCTGTCTCCCCCAGGTGTGAGAAACCAGCAAAAGCTTCAGAGTGACACCACAACTGGCACCCCTCCAACCCAGAGCGGACATCTTCAGCGCGCATCTCTAGCTCTGCGCTGTCCACGCTCCCCGAGAGTTTAACGCGGGTCTGGCAGATCGTGCCCGCCGATGGGGCTGGCAGCGACTAACTCAGATGGAAACAACCCCCCCCGTGCACGAATCCCACCTTGGGCTTTGCCCCGCTCCTTACCCAGGTCATGGCTGGCCCATCCAGCTCAGTGACGGGTTCATACATCTCCAGGTCATTTCTTCGGACTTCAGAGCTCATGGGGTGCATCAGCGGGAATCCAAGCAAGACAACATCAGCTTGTTTCACAGGCTCACCTGGGGAAAGGCATCGGTCAGACCACGTACGTCAGCTGGGAATAACCACCAGACTGATTGTCTGTTTACTCACACGGAGAACAAACCTGACTCACGCAGAATCATAAACTTAGAACAACAAACACCCGAGGAACAGGGGGAAGGCAGTGGAACTGCACGAGGACAACTCATTGCTGCCTTGCTAAAGGAAGACCAGAGCTTGTGGTTTGTCCTTGGTGTTGTGTCAAGGCGGGACACCGGCACAGCCCCGACGCGATGGCACCCAGACTGATGTCACCTATACTTTGGGTGCAAAGGAATAGCTCCCGCCATCCCGTGCACCCCGCCCCTAACTCTGAGAAAGGGGGCACTGAACTGGGTGTGCATTGCCACTGGAACCGGCCCTTTCACTTCCAGAGGGCCGGGGGTGGCTGGAAGGGCAACGCATGGCGCTTGACCTTGGAAAGACAGACCTGTCAGCAATGGGTTCATAGAAAACATCTCACCTGCAGCCCAGTACTAAAAGTCTCTTCCTACTCTCCATGTTCCCAAATTTCCTGATTTTATGAGCCCGCTAATGAGAAGCGATCCACCAAGAGGCAGAAGAAACATCTACAAGCCAGGCTCTGCACACCAGCAACCCAAACGCTGCCCTTGGAGACCAACACTGGATATTTTTACTTCAGCCAACCATTCAGCTGCTGCTCCCGTCTTTGAACCGGAGTCCCCGCTTCTCGCAGGCTTACAAAGAAAGAGCAGTCTGCTGCTGCCTCTCCCCTCACCTGGGCGGTAACCGTCGTACTCGGGATGATATTTCCTCTCCGCATCAAAGGGCACTTTGATTTTCTTGGCACAGTCCACCCACTCCTCTGGCACGGGGATCAAGAAGTCCCGAGCAACGTCAGCTGCAAAATTTAAGCTGAAAAGAAGCGAGGAACAATGCCTTGTCAGGCATGGGTGCCTGTGACCCTCTCAGAGACGGAAAGAGAAGAAAAGGAACAGAAAGAATTAATTGAGCCATAACTGCAAAGAAACAGCTACTCTGAAAGAACATGGGTCGAAGTTCAAGCTTGGGGTAACAGCTTTCATTGCAGGAGCTGGGAGTCTGTTCCACTAGCTTGAGGTGTCTCCAGCTGGCTAACTGTATAGACATCTCATAAAACGCAGGGCGAGAAACCCTCCCGTGCAGGGAAACCCCTCAGCCTCACGTGGACACCTGAAGCGGGTCAGATGAACCACCACGGGACCACCTACTGCAGGAGGAGCCCAGCTCAGAGGGATGCGAGGAGAGGAAAGGTGCATCCCACGCGGGAGCCCTGCCGCCTCCAACCCCTGCCAGACCGCGGGGCAGAAGAGAAGACAGACGGGCCAGTGCTCCAAGGCATGCGGTTACCTCCGCTGGGCCACGGCGTTGGTGTAAACAGAGTTATCAACCCGGTGATGGTACTCATCGGGGGGCATGACACCTGGGGGAAGAGGAAGGGACACTTCACACCGCAGCACACCCGAGGTTTGGCACGGCTTTGTGCCCTTCCTCAGGGAAGCGGCACGAGAAAGGGAAGCCCTCCCGACGCGGCGATGCCTGCCCACACGGCGAGGTGTCGCCTCTCTGCTTCTGGCAGGATCCCACAGCGATCTCGGTGCAACGCTCAACAGCGGTGCTTGTTGCAAAGGAGCTCCTGGCTGACAGCTTTGGCTGATGGACAGCAGATACCTCAACCTAAGGGCACCTCCCTCGCTTCGCAGGCAAGGTCATTAATTCTTTCAAGTCATTCAAGTTGATAAAGTCATT